ACTGTAAACTCCGCTGAAATGAGATCTGTCAAAACCCCACCAGCCCCTGAGCGCTCTCTGCTACTTTGCTTTGGAAAAGTGCTGAATCACTAGAGACTGTTGGGTCGTGCCTGATAGACATTATCTCACCTAACCTTAATAGGCGTTAAACTGCTAACATCTCCCCTCCCAAAAGCAGGGTTTTCATGCTCATCCAGGTCTTTAACCTGCAATTTCCTTCTACAATACTCTGAAGGGCTAAGAGCTGTTCAGTGTCTCCATGGATTTGGGGTGAGGAAGGCCCTGTCCCCAGTGGAGCGGCAGATGTTTTTATAACCAGATTGTGAAACTCACAAGTAAAACAAACTGTGCCCACCAGTGGCGTAGCCAGGTTCTAGGAGCAGGGGGAGCGAACACGTAAAAAAAGGCGCCACCCGCTGTGAAGCAGCGAAGAAAAAAAATGCACTTCCATCCTTTAGAGAAAAAAAAAAGGACTGGACCATGCTTCCAGTTCCACCGCTAAGTGATACTGGCAGTACCCAAATGCCATTCCAGCTCCTCAAAAACGTGCTAGAATGGCGTTCCGGAGTGTTCCAGCACAATTCAAGCCCTGAGTGACCTCTCTCGCTGGAGCCCCGTTACCTAGCTTCTGTAACCTTGCTCTTTCCTGCCCAGTGCTTTCTCTTCCTGTAGGACTCCTATTTGTTCTCCTCCTGGTACAGTTTTCCAATGCTCCTACCTTCCCTCCCCCTCCCTCCTAGAGTCAGCTAAACTGGTTTTCTAAGGATGCAACTCACTCATTATCCCAGATGTTTACACCTGAATAGGGTCGTTAAGTCCTAAGCACCTTCTTAATGCATCTGTTGGGTGCATATGTGCTCCAGGGCCTGTCAGCGCTACTGGCTCTACTTGTAGAGAGACGTTCATAACACAGCAGGTTTGCATACTCAGCTTCACAATATCAAGCAGAATTCATAAATTGTACAGATCTCGCCCTAATCCATCACAGGAGGACACTCTGGGACATAGCTGATGCACAATTAGCTCTTCTATGGCCAAAGAGGAATGAGAAGCAAGCAGAGCCATATAAAAGGTGCACTAAGTACTAAAGAGCACCCAGGGAGTCGGCGCCTAAGGCACCACTTTTGAGAATGTGCTCAGTGGGGGAGGGGCCGCTCCCCCTGTCCTCCCCCCAGCTACTGGTGCCCACACAGCAGCTTTCCTGTCTCACAGCTGTGCTGAGCTGTGTTTTACAGTCACACCCAGCCGGCTGCCTGACCTCTGTGTGCACTGGTGCATGCTGGGGGAGACTGGGCAGCTGCAGCAGAGGTTAGGAGCCCAGGGGACAAGCGCACACAGAGCAGCACCAGTAGCCCAGGGGTCAATGAACTCTGCGGTATCCTACCACACTGAGCTGGGAGGGAGGGGGTGCTCTGGCCAGTTACATGGGAACTGTTTGGGGGTCTGGGCCACAGAGCATTGTAACAGCCTGATGAGCCTGGTACAGGCAGCCAGCCACGAGCCAGCCCAGCCCCTGGTGGGGATGCCGAGCGGCCGTGGTCACTAACGGTTAGCTCCACTGTGGGCCAAATCCTGTACTTATAGCTCCCAGGGGCAGGCCCCATGCCCAGGAACAGCTGTAATATGTGCGGGGCCCTGCTTGGGGCACTGGGGGGGTCACCAAGTGTGAGCATCACTGTTAACGCGCTGAATGGCTCAGGGGTCAGAATGGACCAGCTGGCTCAGGAGGGCAGTGAGGGCAGCTGGGGCCTTTCACTCCCCAGTCACTGATCTCAGCCCAGGCTCAGAGTCCGGTTCCCAGCAGACAGGAGCTCACAGCGTAACTCACATTAACAGCAGCCTCACCAGCCACCTCCGCAGGGAGGCCAAGGCCTGAATGGGCCTCAGGGACGATTCCTCCCCAGGGAGAGGTTCCAGCAGGTGTTAGAACTGAGCCACGTCAGCAGGACAGTGGGGGGCTCACATGGCTGCTGTGACATCCTCGTACCCTCGATACACAGAGCTCCAGCAGCCGGGGTGTAAACCCCACTCGTACCCCCAGCACTGAACTCACTGACACTGCCCCAAGCCCCCTCTCCTCCTGGGGTGGGAGCAGGTGAGTAACAGCCCCACCCCTCATCCCACAGGCACATCTGTGCATTTGCTGGGTGCACAGAGCTCTCTGGGTGGAGACACTTTCACACTGACCCAGGAATTGGTACTGTGCTCCCCACTGCCCAGGAGGCCGAGGGCTCTCGCTCTCCTGCCCTGGGGGTGAAGGGAGGGGCCCTGGGGCTGCTGTTCCCCGTCCCAGGAAGGGGGTGAAGGGGACGTGGACACAGACAATGTCCCCGCTTGCGCTGTGAGGGGCAGACCCGGCTCCACCCTGGGCTTCAGAGCCTGAGCTCGAGTCTGAGCCTGAACGTCTACACGGCTATTTTTACCGCCACAGAGGGAGCCCCGCAAGCCTGAATCTGTCGACCTGGCTCTGGAACTCACTGCTGCAGGCTGTGTAGACAAACCCAAAGTGTTTCCAGGGTCTGGGTGTGAAAGTTCCCAAAGTGTCTGACCCAGGGCTGGCTAATAAGAGAGAGGCGGGTGGCGGAGGAAAGTAGTTACATGGAGAAGTCTGAGGCAATGTGACCAATAGCTTCTCTGTGAGATGTTCAGGTGCATCTGCAGGGGGTCTGTGCTGCTCGCAGCGTCCATGGAACAAATCACTCTGGGCAGAGAGTTCAGGCTGGATCCAAGTCTCCATTTTCACCCTGAGTTTGTGGGGTGAGATCAGGGGTGCAGGGGGAATTTTTCTACCAAGGGCAAATTTAACAGCAGTTCTGGAGAGTTTCATAGCCGATGTCCTGAGCCTGGCCTGCCCGTAAGTTTCTGGGGATATCGACAGTCACTCACTGTGAGTCACTAGGATTTGGGCTTCTAAGTTGCTCTGACAGGTTTGAAGTGGAGCTGGATGAAATGTTTTGGGTTGATTGAATCCATGTTGAGTTTGCTGAATAGTTTCAATGAACAAACAAAGGTGCCAGCACTTCCCTTTTAGCCAGTGGTTAGCCAGTGGTTGAGCCCTCAGCTGGGAGCCCCAGGTTCAATCACCCCCGTGTGATGTGGGGCAGGAATTGGAATGTGGGTCTCCCCACCTCAGATAAGGGCTGGAACTGCTGGCCTCTGGGTGTCTGATGTGGGGCTCCCACAATCTCTCCTGCTGATGGCATTCCCCTGTGTCTAAACACTGCCATGGGCACTGGGCCAGAGCGTGGGAGTGAGAATGACTCTGCTGCCCACGGGGCCAGGCCCCCACCTGGGAGCCCAGAGTCCAGCTCCCCTGCTCCAGTGACCCTGTAATTATTGATCCATAACCCCAGTGAGGAGAGGGGTTACGGCCCCTGGCACAGCAGTGTCTCAGGTCGTGTCTGCCGGGGTTTTCATTCAGTGATAAAGCTGCCCTGGTGCAAACCCCTAGTGCAGACGTGCTGCGCAGCACCCGGTGCAGCTTATCTCCGATGGAGGGGGCAGTAAGTTGGGAAATGCCCCCTCCCCTCCCGATTGTCCCGGGCTCAAGAGCAACAGCCAAATAATTTCTCATTTACCCCACCCCGGAATCCCCCACTGCACTGCCCCCTCCTAGTGAGCCCAGCCCAGACACACTGCCCGTGCCCTGGGGGAGGGGCTGGGCCGGGAGAGGGGAGGGGAGGGTGTGACGAGTTGGATCACAGAAACCCCCTTGGGAGCTGCCACCAGATGTGCAAAGACTACCCCTGCTTCTGTTTTCCCTGCCAGCTCAGGACTCCAGCACCCTGTCTTGCTGAGCCAGACACAGATCCAGGGTCCGAATCGCCTGTCCCAAAGCTGCAAGTTACCTGAAAACAGCTCACAGTAGTGC